TAACACCCGTTTTCGCGAGACCGTGAGCTTTTGCCACATTTGAGGCCGAGCGTGCGTGGCTGTCTCCTCTCGCAGTCAGGGAACGCTGGGGCGTGGCTTGCAGCTGCCGGCGCTTACCCCGGCGCAGCTGGCTGCGGCGGGAGAGCCTGAGCTCGCCGACGTGCTTGGGCTGGCCGGCGCCTCCGGGGCCAGCCTTTTACCCTTGCGCGGCTAGCCTCTTGGCGCGAGGTCGGTTGCAGGGTTTGCCGTAAGTCCTGTCTCACCCCGGCTGCGCGGAAAAAGGTGCGAAGGAGAAAAAAAGAACAAGACAGAGCCGAATGCGCATCACTTTGCGCAAGCCAAAGAAAATAATTAGAGAGAACATTTTTCGGTATAAGTTATAAGGCAGTGGGGCTCGCAATCAAGCCAACAGCGCAAACTATTTTTCAGCTTTTAAAACTGTACTTTGCGTACTCGACTTGTTGCTACAAAGTTACGATTTTCGAACTGGAGCTGGACACCTGCACTTTGCGTACTAGACTTGTATGGTCGCTCAGAGGGTCGAGAAGGCGATCGCGCCGGCAGCTGCGGGCGGTAAAGGGCAAAGGCAGGCGCAAGCGCCGCAACAAAAACACGCGGAACAGCGAAGGAAAGTAGGCAAGCTCCGGGCAGCTCGGCACGCTGGTGAAAACCCGGCTGCTGCAGGGGCCTGTTTGCGAAAACAAAAGTGCCTGAGAAGCCAGGTCTGTCTGGGCTCATGATTCCCCCGACGTCGATTCTGACGGTTGGGGGAAATGCCACCCCGCTCCCCTTTTCAATGTTGACATGATTGGGCTGACCGTTGGTCACGGGGCAGGTCCCCAGTGCAGTTGACGGTTGTCGACCACGGTCCCCAGATGCTGTTTTTTATGCTGGACCAGCCCCCAGTAGTGCAGACCGATTATTTCAGCTGGGACGGCCCCCCCGCGCCGTCTTTTATACTGGACCGGCGCTGTTTCTTCGGGCCTTTTTTGCTTGTTTGTTTTATTGTTTTGTGCAGCTGGAGCTCAAAACCTGTACGTCGCGGATTTTCCCTCGTTCCCCGAGGAGCACCTGCAACGTCGCCCAGGCCATCGTGCGCCTCCGCGTAGGGCGCCGACTGGGAAGGCGGCGCAGTGCGGAGCAAGCGCTGCGCCCGAGGCGCGACGCAAAACAAGAGCAGCAACCAGGCAGACCGCATTTCGGGCAGCTGCGGCAACTCGTCCAGCAAACCTTGCTCCTGTTCAAGGCGCTCCTGCGCGCACGCAGCCACGAATCCCGGAGTGCTGATGGGGTGCCCAAGGCGAGAAACCCGCGCTTTGTCCCCGCGCCACACTTCGGGGCCAAGCTCCTCGATGCCAGGCCAGGGTGGTCTGGTGACGGCTAGGTGTAAGGTTCAAGGAAGGTTTCGGAGGTTCCGGTTGGTGCAGGCCAGGTGTGGTGAACCCCAAGTAAGGTTCCGTCTCATCACGGCCAGGTGTAAGGCTTTGGCACGAGGTTCTGCAAGGGCTGCGGGGTGGTGCGAGCATTAAAGCGAGCACCGCATGCTGTTGGGGATATCACTGAGCTTATATGTACAATAATACATAAACACACAAATATAATATATATATATATAATATGTGTGTGTGTCTTCTAGCAAGAGAAGCAGAACTTGCAATGTGCAGGTGTAATTGTCTCAGCTGCAATACGGAGCGGAGGCGAGCGTGGCGTCACAGCACAGCGCTTCGCCCAAGCGTGTGGCGCTGTAGCTGCGACAAGGCAACAAGCGAATCTCCCAAAGTTCGAGACTGCAATTTTTCGAAACCACCATCGCAACAACGCGCGGTCGCTCTGTTATGGGAGCATGAAAAGGCCCAGTTGGATTTTAGCGTTTCGAGCGCGCCACCTGTAAAACCTCGGAATCGGATAGGATTGGTAGCGCTCAGTCAAAATCACAACAAAAACATTTTGAACTCGCCCTTCGATGCAGAATCGCACACACACACACACACATACCGTTACCGTATTTCGCGCGCTCCACCTGTCTTAACACAGAGCTCCTGGACGGGGCAGTTTGTTTTTACTAACCACAAGAAAAACGCCCCAAACGAACCAGGAGGCAACCCCGAGACCAAACGATCGAAAAACGCGGGGGAGGAGCCAACCAAACCAACACAAGGACCAGGGGCGAGTGTGTACGCATTGCCTGGCGCGAGGCGGGAACACAGAGCGTGGCGGGCGGCGGAGAGCTCGCCCAGGAAAACGAGATGGCGCGCCCGCCGAGTCGAGTCCGGGGACGGTGGAGCAACCGCTGTTAACACCTTCGCGGCCGAAACAAAAAGTAAACTTGTGACCTTGTGTTGAAGACGATCAGAGTTCCCGCAGAGAGAACTCTACATTTGCGCAGCTTTGGCTTGAAAGTTGCCAGCAGCAGCCATCAGCAAACGCAAATTGGGACGGAGGCCTGAGCCTTGTTGCTTCCGAGCGGGCCGCTGAGCTGGCTTTGTGCAGGCATGTCGATGCTAGTCAACCCAGAAGCCCAGCTCCTTCAAGAGGTGATGTTGAAGGACCAAAGGCCGCACGTGGTGCCCGTTGAGTCCTGTGCGACCAGCTGTGTGGCAGGGCGTTTGCGTACAAAATGCTGATGTTGCGTCGGGCTCCGGTCTCATGGTAGTCAGCACCCTGCCCCAAACAGCAGTTGTGTACGTTGTTTCCCCTGAGGCCAGATCAGCTCCTTCCTTGGCAGATGCAGGGTCTCATGCGATCTCTACCAGGAGCCAACCTTTGTGCTTTGCCACGGCCATGGTTGGCAGCATTTCGCTTTGACAACGGTTAGGAGACCAGACAGCCAAGACAGTGTCTCAGTCACTGCATCCAGCGTGCATGGGAATTTGTGTCAACTCGTGTTTTGCTCAGGCAAAGCCTACAACGACCTTGCACAGCAAGCCAACGGGAAGTGCGTGAGGGACTTGGGGAACATCTCATAGCACAGCTTCTGGCAGCTTGAGACTGCCAGGCCCAAAGGTTTGACGTCTGCAGGCAGGGCGGTGACCATCCTTGCCACATTCAAGCGAGCCCCTGTGGCGGGTGACTACTGGAGGCCGAAGCTCAGAGCGCAAGGGACACAGGCATGCTGGCGCCTGAGAGATGCACAGATGATGTCTTAAACACTGCCCATATTGATTGCAATGATTGCCTGCACCACCAACCTCAGTCTATAGCAACCGGGTGAGAGGTGAAGAATTCCCTTAAAGTTTGAGCCTTGCGAAAGACTCAAGTCCGAGACAAATTGTGTGGGTTCAAATCTTGCGGGCTGGTTTGGGCACTCCTAGTCCTGTTATGTGGGTGATGGGGTGCTGTCATCAGCACAGATCAGCACCGTGCAAATTCAGTGCAAATTCAACGTGTTTGTTTTGTGTTTGTGGCATTGAGTCGCTTGTGGTGGTGGTGGTGGTGGTGGTGGTGGTGGTGGTGGTGGTGGTGGTGAGCGAAAGCGGTTCAGTGCAAAGCGGTCTGCAAGCATTGTGCTTTCAAGGACGTCTCCGCCTTTGCACCGGGGAAGATTGCTGGGAGCACAGCGTTGGAGCATGCCTTTGGTGACTCTCATGGCGTTGTGCTGAACATATGCATAGAAGGTGTACGTCCGTCATCGTCCGGACCCATTCTTCTCAACCTGGGCTGCACGGTGATGCGCCAAGAAATGGCCAAGAGAAGGCTGAGGATCTACGTGCGTACCTGCAGCAGAGCTGCATTATGCCGGAACAATGCAAGTGTTTGCATTATTCAAGTCCGCTCTCCCAAAGGGATGCGGCTTTGTGCAAAGCGGGCGCGGGCTGGAAGGCTGCTTTACGGCTTGTGATCCAGATTATTTCACATAGTTGCAATGTGGCGGTGAAGCCGCGCCAACGGTGAGAAACGAGCAGGGTGTCTGCTGAATGCGGTCACACCAGCTTGCCAGAGTGATCAAGGAAGTTGTCGATTTTCACATGGCCCTTGAAGGTGAGAATGCTTGCTACACAGGCTGAAGTAGTCCCAGCTTGTAGAAAGTTTGGAAGTCATGCGCGTGTGGTCGGAATCTCAATGTCAAAATGCGTAGCATGCCAAGCATATGAGCCCAAAGCGGAAGCAACCAAGATCAAACCACCTTGCCATCCGCAAGGAAGGAATGCCGTTGCAAGCGCTTGCTGTCTGTCGTGATTCACCGGAGGTTCGGTGTGGCTGGGCTTAGCGCTGCGTCACTTCTGGCAGGAGCCTAGGTTCTCATGCATGTGCTGGTGCATGCATATGTTTGACACTTACGCTCAGCCTTGATTGCACTCCACTCCAACCAAAGGGTAGTGTCCCACATCTAGGCCGTCGCCGGACATGTGGAAGTTTGCCCCGGTGAGGGGCCTCGATATGGAGCCTGCAAATGGAACTGCCAAATTCGTCACTGTCTTTTGAAGGTTCTGTGCAAAGGGACAGTTGGGTCCATTGCGCGTGAGAACGCCAGGAGATCACAAATGCAATCATGACGGCACCCATCGCGCCTTAGACCTAGGGAATTGGAGCGATCGTTGGCTGATTGCCATGAGCTTTCGATATTTGCTGTCTCCCAGGTGTGTGCCAAGCTTCTGGATCCAGAGGGGAAGCCGATGATGTGGGGCGGCTCGCTCGCAAAGACGAACACATGTAGACAACTATGTTCTGTTTTGGCACTCAGTAGGGCGGGAGCCAACTTCTGAGCTTGCTTGCGTAGCTTGCTTGCGTATGTGCATGGCGGTGACGATGGCTTGACTCAGTCGGCTTCCGAGGCCAGGGTGATTTTTGGGAAATCACCAACCAGAAGCCTTTCCAGTGGGATGGTACTCTGGCCTTGCTTGTTGCGGAGAATGGGCACAGAGACATGCGTACTTGTTGCCTTTGTCGTCGCATCCTTATGCCCGGCCTGCAGACGTTTGAGATAGCCGTAGTCATGGGTCCGTGGTGAGGAGGATCAAGGTCAATGACTCCAATCTTCCGGTTTCAAAAAACGCGGGGCCGCTGTCAAGCACGGTTGGAGCACCCCGTCGCCGGCCATGCTGCCGACGCAGCCGCTACCCGCCTGCGGCCACTTCTGTATTTCCAGGCCAGCGGCAGTACGCCACATCTTGGAACAAGGCGGGGACTGCAGTTGGTCTGATCAAGCCAAGCTGGAGGTGTGCAGACGGGTGTAACTTTCAGCTACTGGGCTTCAGCTGACTTTGGCCAGGTGCCATTGCAGGCGCGCGGCAGCTGCTGATTCCGGTTGCGGTGACTAGCCTGCAATGGGTGTTCTGTCCCATGCATACATCAGATGAGTGTTCAGCCCACGGGCTGACGCTTGCAACCTTGCAAACAAACAGGCGCTGCACATCGCTTGGAGGAATTCGCGCACACGTGCGAGGGCCAGGCAGCGCCTCATCCAGAACAACTACGCTCACTGTTCCCCGTGGCATCACCATTGCACTGCTGTTGTTGCTGTTGCGAACGCCATGCATCATTCTGGGTGCAGAACACGTGTCTTACCCAAGGCAAGCTGCTCCTGTTCCGTGTGTGAACCTCGACAACCTCTCTTGGTTTCAACAAGGCCAGTGTGAAGTTTGCGGTTTCATGCAAAGCTCTGGCTGAACAATGCGTTTGGCCTGTCTCCCCAGGCCAAGATGCAACGCCGCCAGTTGAGACGACCAATGCCGTCAAAGAAGCTCTGGCCACGCACGGCATTTTCACCGTCAGAGGCCGGTGCGGTTGGGCCTAGGGGTTGACTTTGAACATTGGGTCTCTAAAAGTCGGAGCCAGATGGAATCGGGATGGACCAGACCTAATGGACTTTCTTCCATGGAGCCTAGTGGCGGCTTTGATTTCCCGCACCGAGACGCAGCGTCACAAGACGCATATCTGAGGCCATGGCATCTCGCAGGAGGTGCTCCAGACGGCCAGGGAGGAGGGTGAAGCGGTCAAAGCTTGGAGTCACTCAAGGAAACCGCCAAATAAAGTCAGCCCTGGGGTGGTTTGTTTTTGTGGGTTGGGTGGAGGGGGAGGGTTCCACCACTGTTATATACAACATTGCCTGAGATTGACGACAACTGAGCCCTGCCCTTTGCATGATTATATGCACTCGCCTTTTTTAGAGCCGTGTTTGGTTTGATGTGTTCTTGGCCGGCGGCGGTGGGGGTTCTGCGCAGCCCGGAGGAATCGGCCGGATTTTTCAACCAGCCGCTTGCGGCGAAGCAGTGCTGCGCTGTGGCTTGGCAATGTGAGGAGACAGCGTTGGCCGCCGCCCGCAACGTTGCAACGAGGTGTTTGGAATGGAGCGCAACCGCAGCTCGGCTCCAACACATCCAGACTCTTTTGGCCTCAGGTCAAATTGCTTGTGGAATCTTGTTGGGCTGATGCCACGCTGACGCAGGTGGGTTTGAAATTTATCCTCATCATCAACGATTCCTAGACCAATGGACGGAGATAGCAGATATCCCAATGGATGCACATCCTGAGCCGTCTGCTCGTCAAGGCACGTCTGAAAAGAGGCAGCCATGTAGCTCCACTGATGCAACCAGGCATCGTCTGCGAGCGATTTTGCTGTGGGCCTCCTGAAGTGTGTGAGCCTGCCGCACCCATGAAAGCCTGGAAGCTGGACGACTTTTATCACTCAGAGTATGGCTTCCCGGCTGGTCAGTGTCCTTGGAACGTTACTTGGTTGTTTTCGCGCTTCAGGAAAGGTCTTCTTCGCGCCCAATGTGTGGCCGGCCGCGCCGGATGCCTTCAAGGCGTCAGGTGCCTTGGATGCCTCAGATGCCTCGTGCCGGGACTTGCAGCCTTCCCTTCTGGCAGCCTTTGGCGCTCTGGAAGCGCTGGCTGAAGCCCTGCTGCTGCGGCTCAGCCTAAGGAGATGCAAGAGTTCCAGTGTAACTTGAGGGCGAGTGGCACATGAAGTGCCAAGTGCAATGTGTTGTTCCCCCGTGCGCTAGGCTTCTGGCTGAAGCTGTAGACATGGAACCGGAGCCATTGAGAAAGCTATTGGTCGATGATGGGCGGATTCGACACTCCAGCATGTTGCAGGCTGGGAGCTCAAGCCGTGCAAGCCAGTGGGATGATGTAAGGTGTGCAACTATCCCTCCCTCCTTCCGCGGCAGCTTCGACCCACCGAGCTGCCTAGCTGTGAAAGCGGGATCCCTTGCACTTGCGGCGGCGGTTTCGGTCCTTTTCGCTGATTTACATGTCTCGGCATCACACGGGAGTGTTGCTATTGACGCGTTTGCTTCATGAGGCTTTGTCAAGCTTTCAGCTTGAGGTCTGAGTACCAGCTGCGGGCGAAAGCCCACCAGGATTTCGGCGCCTTCACCATCCTGTCGAGGCAAGCGGGTAGCACCCTGGAAGTTCCATGCTCGTCCCGCAAGGTGCCCAGGCACGGACTCCGGCAAGCTGAAATGTGGCCGCAGTGGCGCTTTGGAGGCGGGGGACGCAAGCAAACAAATAGAGATTCGTCGAACATGCACGAAATCACACACACACACAAGCTCAGGTCAGATTGCCGAGTGGAGACTGGATGTGCGTACCTGCCAAACTTGAAGAGCTGACTGTGATGCCTGGCACGCTGATGGAGTACTTGTCTGCAGGCGTGCAAACATGATGCCGTGGCCCATAGCAACCCTTGCGGCCCAAAAGCACAATCACAATCTTCCATCATCAAAGGTGTCGCCAATCTTAAGGCAGGAGGAAACGCACGTTGTGGACTGCCTTGCAGGACGCTGCCCTGGCGTCACGCACCGTGTCACAAATCCGCCGTCTGAGAAAGCATCCGCATCGCGACGGCTTTCCCTGACATATGCGACTTGGGCCCATTTACTGTTAAGCGAGCCGGGTCTTGGGGAGCCACTGCAGATTTAAGGGTTGTTGAATCCGAGGTTGTCAAGCCAGACTACACAGCCCCGGCAGTACCACCGGGTAGCAAGCTGGCCTCGGATCCCTCTACGCCAGCACTTGGGGATTTGTGGCGGGTAGGCCTGGCGCTTTTAAACGGAGGGCCATGAAGCCTGGACGTGTTGGCGAGTTGCCGTTGTTGCTTGCGCTGATGAGGGAAGAAAGTGCACCCTGCAGGATGGCAGGAGAAGCAGCGACTGACCGGAGCCATGCCCCATGGCGAGGCCGTGCAGTACTTCCACAGACATCGGCAGGAGCTGCGAAAGCGGCTGCTGCTTCAAGGTTGATGGCCTGTCCGGAACAAGCACATTTGCAAGAGTAGTCAGCGTGGTCGCTTCAGTGCCTGCCGCCTTGGCGCCACAGGAAGTGCGCGCAGGGGGGGGGGCGCAGACTTGGTTGACAAAGCTGACTTTACTGCGGCCTGATTGGACCAACGTCACGGTGGAAGCTCGCAGGCTGCAGCTTCTGCAGCCGGTGGCTGGTGAGCTCAACTTCCACGAGTGGGTCCTTAAAATTGGATGTTGAAGGACCTCCCCGCACGTGCGGTCTGCGACCACCACGTCACCTTCTGCTCAAATCAGGTGCTCGTGAGTTTGTGTTGGAGCCTGCGTAGGCACAAAAGGCGTGAGCAAGTTGTAATCTGTCAGGCTGCATTTTTCAGGCAAGCGTGCGGAGCCATGGGTATTACCCAGCCAGCCAGGTGTCATCCGCGCCAACGGTGGCGATAGCTGGTGCATTTGTATGTGGGTCAGGCACTCAGGAGCCCAGGCACCCAGGCGCAAGATGAAGTCAATATCGAGGAGTTTCTATCAGATCTTGTTGAGCCCAGACCCAACAAGCGGTGCAGCCTTGTGACACCTCGGTCAGCTTTCAAAAGGGACCACGCACACATCTTACAGACGAATGTGCGCTCGGCTTGGGTTGAATCATGGCCTCGTTGAACAAAAGGCTAACAAACCCCAGTGGAATGCCCAGATCACATGCCGTCCAGGCCTTCGCTCGCATGGTCGAAGCCGTTGGCTGCGAGAACGTGCACCTGCGCTGCAACGCCACAGATCTGGATTTTGCCCGCAGCTCAGCAGAGACTGCCATTGCGCACTTAGGAAACTGCATGAGACTCAAAGTCCTGAAAAAAGAAAAACACATATTAGCCCAAAACAAGCGCCATGCTCACTCCCAGGTTGCCTCAGGTACTTAGTGGGCTAAAGGAGGTATCGAGCTGCGAAACCAGCTGCCCTCTCTCCGAGGTCTTGGCCCGGTACCAGGATAGAGGTGTCACAGGTGTGAGCCGCTGCTCTTTGTGTTTTGTTTTTCTTGGGGGATTGCTGGCTGACACTGGCGTAGACAAACTAAAGGGGCTTCCATGATTGGAATGGGTTCAATCTATCAGAATCTTGCTGTGAGACTGAAATGCCAGGTAGGGTGCACGACCTGAAAGACGCGCACAGCTGCATGCGGCAGAAGTGCGTGGAGGCGCTGAGTGTCAGATGTGTGGGGGCAAAGAGCATTTTTCAAGGGTATTGGTGGCTCAAGTAGCTGGGGCTGGATAGAATGCCTGAGTGCTTCTCATGTGCATTTACCTTAGCCCTGCTTGCCAGCACGTCTTATAGTGCTGAACTTGCTGAGGCGTTTGGTGCTTGCTGCGTCTTGTCCTCAGGTGTCTTGCACCCTCCCGCACAAAACCAACAGTTGAAGCACACAATTACAGTGTGTGGCAGGCTCAGCCGAGCAAAGAGGCAGCCACTCCGCAAGCTGCCTTGCTGCAACTAGGGGCTCCTGTTGCAGGGGAAAATGTTCAGGTGCTCCTTGCCGGGATAATGCCAGCAAGGGAGCTCTTATGCCACATCGCTCTGTCGGCGGGGTGTTTGCTGAATTCGGTGCATGCATGCACCAAGGGGAGCCACCACTATGGCTTTGCAGAACTGTGATGCTGATGGTTTTAGAGCTGCAGTTGCGGGGTGACCGGCAAAGTCCCGATCAGATGCTGCCCCCATGCTGCTTGGGCGGTTGTTTACTTGCTGCGCCATCGCCAAGCGGGATTCAGCAAGCGTCTCGCTGCCAACGGTGGCCAAGATTTGAGGTAATATACATAGCATGCACTCATGCACATGTCTCCATTTTCTGCGCTTTCGACGCGCCCCTTTTCATGCCCCACGGGCACAAAAGTGCTGACATGACGTAGCACTGGTGTTAGTTAGCTTGTTTTGGTTGACAGCCTCGTGCACAAGAAGCTCAACCTGCCTGTGACGCAGGTTGCAGCCACGAAGGTTTGTGGCTTGCAGTCGCTTTGGGGATTATTCAGTCCCATGCAAGTCTCACCTCGCAACCCATGCACCCCCCCTCAAATGCAACTACCGATGCCTCCCTTTTGCACACACCACCTGACACAAGGTCCAAGCATCGGAGTCATCGGAGCAGCCATGTTTGCACATCCTTGTTCAGACTATGCTTTCTGACGTTGATAGTAAGAGCTCGTGTTGATGGCGCCACATGTCCATCCGCATCCTGAAGGCCTCGGACTCTTGGACCCCAGGCTTGCAGCCCTTGCATGGGAATTTTGGAAGGCCAAGCAAGAGTGATTTCCCGGACAAATGCATACGTTCAGAAATGTTTGAGGGCACTCATCCGTATTTGGGGCATCAACGATAAGGGGCGGACCCTCCCGCCAGGCCTTCCTTTGGCTGCTCGGGCCTCAGTGCTCCCACGGCCTTGGGGCAGGGTGCATGGAGGTGACCTGCGCAGGCTCTGCAGCCTCCGGACTGATGCCACCTACAAGGGGCTTGAGGCTTAGGTGGAGCTCTGCCGCAACCCGGCCATCAGACCACTTCCAACGCCCCGAGCCACTTCAAAAGCTCCTTGCGGGTTAGCGTTGAGTCTGCCGAGCTGCAGGCTTTGACCCAACAAGTCGAACACCCCCTGCTTCACATTTCCAAGCTCGCTCCCTGTTCCAAGCTAACTTCAAGGTGAGCGTGCGTCAGGTTTGTCAATCCGTTGCGGCACTACAACGCCTCCGATGGCTCTTTGGCGTGCCAGTCTCACTTGTCGTATCGCCGTTGATGGCCTGGCAAGTGTCCCATGTTTGTGCTCCAGCGGCATGAACCTTGTGTGCATGGCAACCCTCGTCATGAGCCTTCTTCCAAGTTGAGCCCGTACAGATCCCCAAAGCCAGCTCACCGGCCGTTTTTTTTTTGCCGGTTGGTCGCCGGCCAGCGCTTCGTGCTGCAGCTGGCGGACAGCGAGTCCACTGAAGAGCTGGCAGCGGCTGTCCAGGCGGGAAGTGTCCTAGAACTGGGATCTTTCAGAGATTTCGAAAGGGTTTCGAAAGGGAAAGGAAGCCAAAAGCCATCCTTTTCTCAAGCGCGCCATCTTTTCCGTAGTTGAGAGCTCGTGAGTTGTGGTCGCGTGTTGCAAGATTGCCGGCCTCGAAATGAGAGCGTGTCTGGCTTTGATGAGGCATGCCTTCAAATCTCTTGGACACCTTGCCGAATTTGTAGGAATCTCGTGTCAGTGTGTGAGCTTTTAGGGCGCTCACAGCTGCCAACCTTTTTGCGCTAGCCGTTTGGTTCCAGACATTTATTGGAATCCTGCCGACCATTTTGTTGACGGGGCGTGTTCACCCGCAACTTGCAGAAGCAATCGGTGGCAGTGGGTTGCATAGGCCGGGAAAGCAAGCCGGAGAAGGCAGACATTCACAGCAGTAGCCTAGCACCGTGCCTCTTACCGTCTGCTGGACGCTGGGCAGCACCAGCACACGGTTCTGCTACAAGAGGCTTTGTTTGATTTTGTTTTTCAGCCTTATTTTCTGAGCAACTCGCACAAGAGCAGCTGACAGTTCGGTCGCTGTCCTGTTGCCTCACCAAACTGCATGCTGAGGTTCGGCCATGCCTGCAATGCCTGCGTTCTGGGCTTTAGCCCTCGTTTTGGGAACGCCTTCGTGGGCTGGTGTTGTGCTGGATCGCCCTGGCTCGGGCTACAAGGCGTGGCCTGCGTCGCATAATCTGGGCCGGTGATCTGCAAATCCTTGGCCCCTATGCCAAGGCGATTCCCACTGTGCTGAAAAGTCGCATTCCTCAACGAGCCCAATAATTCCAACCTGGGGCTTCTGTGTCAATAGTGAAACTAGCAATGCCACTGGCAGTCATTGGTTCATTTGGGAAGGTCTCCAATTTTCCCATAAAATGGGTGGCTACGCTTAGCGTGATTTCGCTCGTCTCAGTGACTGTCACAGGGCTCGGCGGCGAACTGCACCAAGCTCTTTGCAGCTCGTCCAAAAGTCGTGGCGCATTGCATTGGCGACTCTTGGCGGACGTCCGGCACTGCTGGCACGGCTGGCCCATGAGGTCGACTCGTGGCCTTTCGACTACGAGCCTCATGGGTTGAACACTGCTATGCACCCCAGGACCAGTTTGTCGCCGCCAGCTGCCAGCTGTTACCACACGCTTGAATCTTGCTGTGTATGTTCGGCTAGGTTTTTTTCCACTTAATATATATATATATATATGTATATATATATATATATATATAAATATGTGCTTGAGACGGGGCGGTGTGCGCTCGATCTCATTAATTCAGACGCATCATTTGAATTCTGGTTTTGAGGACGGCTGATCTGCCACGCGAGCTTTAAACATGCTTGTCACTTCCTGTGCGATTTCATCACTGCGAGTAAACTGAGCAGGCATTTGGGCATTTTCGCTGCGCAGGACTGACAAGAAAGCAGATGGGCTTGCCATGAGGGCTGTTTATTACGAGCCACGGCCAGTGGGGCTGCTTGCTAGCCATAGAGCGGGCACAGCACTCGCCTTTCCATAGCCAGACGTCAGACCTGTCCGCGCATCTACTCGCAGCTGAGGCTTACACCAAGCCTTGAGAATGATCTCTACACCAATGCCTTCACCAATATGCACGAGAGAGACCTCTACATCATGCGGAATCTTGGCCTGGCTTTCACTTGACGTTTGAGAGCCAGGTGACCCAACCATATCTGCATATATAAATATATGTTTGTAGATGTACATATTATATGCAATGCTCTAGGTTCATTTTGCGCATGTCGAGTTGGTTCTCACGTTCAAAAGGGATGCACTCTATTCGGGCCCCAAATGGACCAAGGAACATCCTGAAGGCCAACGCCGTGAGGCTGGCGCCCTGGGACCCCTCCCAGGACCACTCGGACTTTCTTCGGCTGTGTCACAAGCACGGCTTGCAGCCTGGCGGGCGAGGGCGGTATGTTGTGGAAGTCAGAGTATGCGAAGCACAATGGTCACAGATCGTGTGAGTCGCTTTGTGCGGGCTATGTGGCCCACCAACATGTTGGAAGGCACGTTGGCACCTTCTTGCTTCGAGGGCAAGCCGCCAAGGTATGTCATCCCATCCTTTGACCTGAGCTTTTTCCTCAGCACCTCCGCAAGACTGCCCGGAACCCAAGTGTGGCATGATGCTGGCTGCGGTCAAATGCTCCATCATTGACAGCTGCCCAAAGGTCGTCTGCATTCAGCATTCGGCAGCAGGAGGTTTGGAAAGGCTTCCAGAAGTTCACGACCCAGGCAGTGGGGGTTTGCTGTTGCTGTCGTTACAGTAAACGAACCAGTTGTAAAGCAATACAACTGGCTCCATAGTTGCAATGATCAGGGGAACCGACAGTAGCTTTCCGCTTGCAGGCCCTCCAGGACGCCAAAAAGGACGAGGACATAATTCTGATGTGGACGGTGAACTTCGGCCTCAATCTGAACGAGACCACGGAGCAAGGGCCACGCTCAACCTCCGTCCTGTCAGACTTGCGGGACGCATCCTGGCTGCATTCAGCTTCCCTTTCTCGCAACTGAGCCAAGACTGCGCTAGAGTACGAGGGGACTCGTCCTATCCAAAGCTTCCAGTGTATATTACAGTTTGGACCGGGCCCGTGAGGTGCATTCCATGCCTCGAACATCTCAGGAGTACTTCCAGCTCCTCCGGGTAATTCGCCAAGCGCAGTGGGTGCAGGAGTGTGGACCTTCCAGGAACTCCTGCCCCAAGACCCATTTCAAGCGACCCTTGGGCTCCTCGGCTTGTCTCGGTTTTTGATATCATGGGCTCGTTGCATGTCCCCCGCCAAAGCTGATCGCATAGGCATTTCTGGTGCTTTGGTGAGGGATGGCTGTCGTGCCGTGAATGTGATCTCGAAAGCTATCAACCACTCAACAAGCTGATTGTGTCAAGGTCAGTTAGTGTCACAACACCCGAGCTTGCCAAGGGATACCAATCTTACTGGACACCGCCCTGCGTCTGGACAATGTGGGTTGGTTCATCGGCTTTGCAGTCAGCCAGCTGCAGTAGTGCTGGTCAAGCTGGTTGTGTCGGGGAAGGCTTGACATGGCTTGAGTTGTTTCAATAGCTTTTGACTGAGTGCCACGCAACTTATTGGCTGTAAGAGTCGTGCACGCTCAGGAAACCGTTTGGGGTACCTGGCCGGCCGATGAGATCTCACTGAACGTTGATGAGAAGACATTCAATGGCCTGCGCCCGCTTGGGGCCTTCGATGTGTGGATTGCCCAAGCTATGCCCATGACCAACCGCGAGGGCCAATCTTCCTTGGAAGGGCAGTTGTCCTGGTTTAATGCAACTTGGACCTTGCTTTTCTGGCGTGATGCTGCGTGCATGGGGCTTCTCTGGCTCCGCTCGCTGATTCGAAGGCAAGCCTGGAGGAGAGCCACAACCTCTTTGTTTGGCATGACCTCTCGACGCAGACCCTGAAGCAACCGGAGGGGAAGGTCTTCGATGGCTGCGATCCAGGCGCAGCTGTTCTTCTGGCTGGCAGAATGCAAAGACGTAGCGCACGTGTAAAGCATGGTAGTGCTAGGGGGACGAGTGAAGCTGGCGCTTCGGCAGCCTGCACTTGACTTGCCCGGGGGGGGGAGGCGCATTTTTTTGGGAGCCAGGAATTGGATGTACATACCCAACTCAGAAGCTGGTCCTGGCGCAGTATGGCTTCGCGGCAGAGGCACCGACGTATGGTTCTGTGCCACGGCCGCGCTTGGTGGGTTATAGGCAGTGATGCATGGTTCTCCGTGGGGCTCGTAAATTTGGGGGTTCTTTGTGACTTTGAGCTGATCTTTCTGGGTTTGTTTGGTTTTAGAGGTTGACTCATGTCTGTGCTAGAGTTTGGGTGATGGTTGCAGGGGGCTTATTCGGAAACCGGTCTGAAAAGGCTTCCCCGTTCAGAAGCACACCCATGTGCGAAGATGTTCTCCATGCTCCCGTCCCCGAGGTGAATGAGGCAGTGGACCCGGCCCTGCAGCAGAAGCTGACAGGAGGGAATGCGGAAGCTTGCGATTTCAGGATGTTTTGGGGATGTTGGGGCGTGTGTGCGACGATGGCGATTTGGCACAGGCGAGGTCTTCAAGAAGCTTTCGAACCTTAGCAGCTGTGCAGAAGCCGGCATCCTCATCGACGAGTGGGTGGATGACTGGGGCCGCGGGCAGGTCATGGGATGTCCTGGCAGCGTTTTTCAGCATCCTCACACCGGGCCTTGCGATGAAGTTCGACCTGGACGCACCATCCATCATGAATGGTTCGGTTTGAACGGCCAGTACACCTTCCTGAGTTATCATTGCTTGGACCCACGCTTCCATCAAGACCATCCATCCAAGACGGATGGCACCATAGGTTCCGGCGCCTTCCGCTTCGAGGATCTTCCCAGCAGAGATGCTGAGAAAGAGTTGTGGGACAAGTTGCCGGGAGGCTATTGCGTTCCTTGGCGCCAACCAGTCATTTAAACTAACCATAAAGCAGCCAAGCTCGCGTGCGCAACTTGAAACGTCGCTGTTCCTGACATGTCGTTACTTGCATGTTTGAGTCAGGCCGTGATGCACGAGAAATTGTGGCTCCTGGCTCTGAACTTTGGTTTGCTCCTTTGCGGTGCGTCCTTGGAGATCTTCTACCTTTGTCGTTGCTGTTGTTTTCGCCCGGGGCTCAGTTGTGAGGCCTTGAGTCCTTAGGATCCTCTTGCATCCCAACTCCTGCGACAAAGCCGAGGCAAAGCTGCGCAGGCAGCGCGAGCGGCTCGCTTGGGCGATGGGCAGGTGCCACCCGCTGCACCTCAGAACCTGAACCCTAGCCATGGCGGGTCCAAGACTTCCAGCCCCCAGCTGAGCTACAATCAAAACCTGGGTTGTTGAGTAGGATTGAGTAGGGGACGGTCTCAGCGACAACTTGGTTTGGCCGTTGTTGATGTGTTCAAACGCGATTTTTGCTAGGTTCTTTCGGGCGAGGTTTCTATTGTGACTCAGCTG